TTATACAGTCATGGATAGTATTACGAGATATCGCCAAAAGGACTGAAGGCATCTCGAAGGGTATTTTGATCAATTTCTGGCGCTAAATCACCAACAAATATATGAAAGTGTTCTAAAAGTATAATAGTAATAACAAGTACCGAAGCAAAAACGACCCAATTTTTTGGGTTATTTATCTAGATTCAGCTTCACGCACATCTAGATGCACGTGAAGCTGAATCTAGATAAATAACCCAAAAAATAGGGTCATTTTTGCTTGGGTATCATAAAATAATATAATTGAAATGTCATCACGTTTTCATTTCGTTCAGGTATATTTTCATCTGTGTTTGGGTCTGTTTTTCTTGACTGTAGTATTCGTATTCTCAGCACTTCTTAACCGTGATCGCCCACGATATTATAATAATGCAAGTACAATGGGTTTTCGAGGACATGTAAACGTGGGTAAGACTAGGTTCTTTTATGTTTTAAAAGGCGTTTGATATCAACTGTGAGACTTTCTTTATCATTAGGATTGGGTTTTCGACCACAACCAAGTAAGCGTGTAGACGTTGTAAAAATAATATAATTGAAATGTCATTACATTTTCATTTCGTTCAGGTATATACGAGAATTTAATTAGAGTGACAAATGATGCAAAAGAACAGCTACGATTAGCTTCATCGTTAAAGCTTTTCCGAGATGGTATTAAAAAGTGAAATATATCCTCTGTCATTCGGTTAAACGAAAATACAGCTTTGTATTACTCTTTTAGTTTTCTTACTGCAATTAAAAAAGGCGGATACTGAAGAATGTTCACCAACAAATCCTGCCAAATGATTACCTAGAGGGGTGGCATGTGCATTTAATTGGTTTGACATCGTTCCAACAAAAGATCATCCGTGTTCAGACGCGAATGCATTCGGTTATGCTGAAGAAAAACCGTGTGTATTATTAAAATTGAATAAAGTAAGTTATCTCGCACGGAACCCAATTCCATAAGAGCATTAAAACTTTTAATTCAATTACTTTTCCATTTAGATTTATGGTTGGATGCCACAGCCCGGCGCATTGCCGTTGAAATTTACGGAAATGACAGGACTAAAGGTAGACGATCCAAGTCAACCAGCAAATGTTTATGTTACGTGTGGTGGAGCTGTACGTCAAAAATTTTTAATATCTAATACATTCTAATAATAAGAAGCGAAAATATGTTAATTGTAGGCTGATGCAGATAATGATGTCTTATCAAATTTGACTTATTACTCTCTTCTAGACAAAACTGGTAACTCAGTATACGGTGGCATTCCTTATTATTACTTTCCTTACAGGTAAGTTCCAACTTTAATTCACAGATTGACGTTTGTTCGTCTCTGTGCATCCTACGTAAACTTCTAGAAATAGAATCCAAAATATAACGAATTAAATTACTTTTATTAACAGTTTTTACCATCTAAAGTTTTTTATTTTTAGAAGTGTAAAACATCATGTGCAACCGTTTGTGTTAGTTCAATTTAATTCTATTCCGAAAAATCGTCTAATAAATGTTCAATGTCGTGCATGGGCTAGGAATATTGAACATGAAACAAAAACTATGCAGGGAATGGTCATGTTTCAATTGTATCGATCATCCGTAGACAAATGATTGTCAAAAAAATAAACTATTTCAGTAGAAGAATGACAAAAAACAAAAATAGAGATTTGTTAGTGAAGATGTACTTCAATGATTTACGACAGTATTAAATAGAACTTCCCAAGATAACAGTAGACAAATATTATTCTACACTTCTATTTTTAATATAAATAACTTTTAGCCTTGTTTTATTTTAAAATAAAAAGTATATTTTTTGAAGTTTGTCTCGTAGGAACTTTCTGATGTTGGGATTATATGTGAGCTCCTTCTGTCTATATATCTTGACTTGATAGTGTTAGTGACACGTGCAGTTTCATAAGATTTATTTCACGTAAGAATGTTGCGTGTAAACTTCAAAAATGCCTTTTGTTTTGATTAAACTTACATGACTGACAGTGATAGGATCTCTGTTAATGTTTTAATACGGATAAATCCTGATTATTTTAAAAATATTTTGATGAGTTCATTGAAACCGCTTCTTTTAGACACCATGGGTGTTGTTTAATGGCAAAAAGTAGATCTTTTTACGCTGTTCGCTCATACGCAATAAAATTCTGACGGAGCAATAAATTTACTCGTCTTTAAAAGAACACTATTCAAGATATATGATCCGAGCTTTTCTTCTCAACATCATCACAGTTGTTATTGTCTGTTACTTTGATAAAATAAAGGATATAACGACTTTTTATTAGTTGTGCGCCGTAGTCGAAAAAATTTGTTGATTCTGATAAGTTTCTTACCAATTTCTTATATAAGAAGGTGCACGAATATGATAAGAGATCCACTGGTTCACGTAAGAAATTTATAAGAATCTTATAGGATATTCATAAGAAATCATAAGAATTTTTTCTGGAAGGTTTTTTAATCATTTTTCAACCAGATTTCTGAAAGTAATGTCTTAAGGAGCTCTTCATGTTTAGATTACGTTGAAACCTTAAGAAAAACGTTGTTTTGGGATCCCTTCAGAAGAGTAACTGTGAGAAGTTTTATATACGGATAAAACCTATCCGTTTTAGGCTTTCGAGAAATGGAAACGTGTTTGCTGGAACGAAGAAAAAACCTTATTGAAAGATAACATGAATTTTAGAATAGGCATTGCAATAACTTTCCAGTCGTCTCTCATCTTTTTGAGTTTTCTAACGCCTTCTTCTTAGATTCTAAATGAATGTGGGAAATAAGTTTTCTTTATTTACTGGTAGTAAGATGTCAGAGAGAATGTTGTTTCACAATATCATCTAAAAACAATTATATTAAATGTAGTAATCCGTGATTTAGTGGTTATATATAACTCAGATTGTTAGGATATAGGACACAGGTTCGATCTCTGCCATGGACCAATGCGTGTTTTTTCTTTGTTTTGTAAAAATCGCATGAAACTGGCTTTCAATCATTTGATTCCTTTAGATACTTTCTCGTAGATAAAATAGTCTTTTTTAAAATCCATGTGAATATCTTATAAGATTCTTATAAATTTCTTACTAGAATCCGTGGATTTCTTATCATATTCGTGTACCTTCTTATATAAGAAGTGGGTAAGAAACTTACAAAAAAAATGTTAAGACATTCATCTGGTTCTTGTCATCTTCTTATAAAAGTCTTATTAGATTTGTATATAAGAAACGATCTCTAGGGCACAGAGAGTGTTGTGATTCGATATTTGGTGAGGGTATGTTTGGCTTATCTTTCAAAGAAATCAGTATAACTTCTTTTTCTTGTCAATTACTAGCTACCATTTAATTATAACCTTTTTATAAATTATGTGTGAGTTTTCACATCAAAAGGGAAATATTAAAAGGAGGAGTATATGAAATCTAAACGTGCACGTTAAGGTATATATTTTTTTATCACTAAATTATTTTCTATTGAAATGATTACCGAGAAAAGATACTGGTAATCACTAAATTCGTAGAGAGCATATAGTTTTTGGCTCCACCAAATTATAGTTTCTGATTAAATAATTTTAATTTCTCTGAAGAAACTATAATCTGATGGAGCCCAAAACTATATGCTCTTATTTTAGTCAATGTGGCTTAACACAAAAGTATAGACGGGGAAATAAAAAGAGTATGAAACACTGATTTCAAATATTGTAAAAACATATTGTAAACTTGTTCTAATGTAAATAAAAATTGTTTTGAAAAGTGATGAATTATTTTTGCAAAATATTGTAAAGAACAAATAAAGCACAAATAAGATAAAAGGATACAAACAAAAAATAAATATATTTACATGTCTCTTCAGTAATAATACTGAACAGACTTTTTTAGGGACGACCTTTACTTTGTCTTTTATCCAACGGTTAATAACGTTTTTTATCACTAGTCTTTTACATTTTGAATAAGACGGCTCATACAACCGAACGTTTACATGGTTATTGTTTAAGACCAATTGGCCCGTTACACAATCTAAGTAGTAATACTAACAGATATGATGTTTGCCGTGCAACAAGATCACATCGTTGCACACTTAGTCATATCAATGGCAGTATTATTGCAGTTAATGATGGACAAATATAAAATATATTAGACTTATGTAAAGTATCACCTCGAACATTTAATGATCATTTATAAGCATTCAATTCAGTATCTGTTAGTATATCTTTCATAGTAGTAAATGGTAATGAAATATTTACAATACCAAATGGTTGACATGACGATTGCCACCTTCTGATCCGAAAGACAAAAGTGATAATTTATCTTGGTTAATATTGTACGTTGTATCAATTTGTAAATATATTATATTAATTGAATTTATTGAAATAAGTCTGTTTTTGAGAATAGTACACAAATATTTTTCTATACCGTCAACCGTATAAAATCGTACAAATGTTGAATGTAATTTCTTATTGCCTTTGCGTAAAATAAACCTAATCTGATTTAATCTACCGTCATTGTAACAATTACACCGACTTTGCAAGCAGAAGACTGTTAACATTTTCGGTCTACCTTTTTGATGTTAATAATTGACTAAAATTTTTAATTTTGTTTCGATTGATGAACTATCTAGATGATTTAATTTAAGATTCCGATCATACTCGGTAGTGGTAAAAGATGACCCCGAAATTACGATAAATATGACGTTTTTAAGTTAGGATAATTTTTTAAATAGGATATAACTTGACAGCTAAAATACGTTTTTTCTTCGTATATTGCATTCAAGTTCTTCGAGAAAGTTTTGATCTTTTGTTCCTTTTATCGATAGCTGAAAAATGATCAAACATATCAGTTCGTAGAGAAAACATTTATGATCAAATTGAGATGTCTTCCAGTTCTAGACGATGTTTTTAATCAAAAGCGAGAAGTATTTTGCTAGAAGCCCCCAAATATACACCTTATACTAGCCTCACTGAATCTCGAAATTGACTCTTACCTTTACAATATCTCGTTGTTACATAAATTATGTGTCAGTTCAAGTGGCTGAGAGCTGACGTTAGCCTCAAGAGACGAAGCCAAGCTCTCAATCGCTTAAACTAACCCAGAATAATAAGAACAAACGATTCCATTTTGACCCATGTTTGATCAATATTTTCTCACAGTCCTCTATCATGACGAAAGGAATAATAACGTCACATTTCGTTTTATGCCTGTGTTCAACTGTTCCACCCATCTTTGCAGGAGCAATTTGGGCCGAATGTGTGAGTTATTTAATCTCCAGTCAAAAGTTGTTAAATCTGCATAAAACGAAGTTTTTTGACTTTTCTGTACACCGTTGGACAAAACTATTACTGTAAGGTAAAGTAGAATTTTCCGGATGAAGCATTTGAACTTGGCTTGCATTGTTAATCTGTGGAGAAATTAATTAAAATTTCTTGCTCGGCTCAGCCTCGTCAAGAAAAGTTGAAGCCCAAGTCTCGTACAAACCCACATGATGTTTCAATCGTATTTTTTTCATCATATACAGTGTACTTTAATCTTTTAACAGAACATGAATTTAATATTGTTTAGTAATGTTAAACATGAATTTAGTAATGTAGTCATATGAATATGAATAAAGTAAATTGAGTAATTTGATACAGAGTACTTTTTTTCTCTTTTCTGTTAAATGATCATGTGATTTCTCTAACCAATAAAGTAATAAAAACAGATAGATTTGGGGTTATTAACAAAAAGCTTGAATTTTGAATTGTTAAAAGTCTAAAAAAAAGAAAATCTTATGGCGAGTAATATTATGTTGAAATTAAGACGTAAAAAGTAACTGAAGTATGATAATTTAAAATATGAACAATGTCTGATAAGTATAAATTCTTCGACAACACACTTATCATTGAATTAAGAGCCATTTGACAGCGACTTATATCAATAGGTTTCGTAAATATTCCTTGCTTAACTGTTCTGAGCTCTCGAATTGATGTATGGCAATTTTTAAGATTATAGGATGAGCAGATTTTCAGCTATTTATTATCTTTGTTCTAATTCCTTATTTGGATTTACTGTACCAGTAATACTCATCTTATAAAATAACTTACTGCTTCGTCGAAATTCATCAGATTTATTGCTCTTCGTTTTTATTGATCGCTGTAAACTGCTTTAAAAAGTATTGTTTGTTACTCTAGTATGATAATAATAACAAATTAAATCAAGTAGTGAATATGGAATGGTTTACTAATGCGTATTGTTTTAAGCACCATAATTCTCTTATGTTCATTTATACTAGGCTTTTTACTGGGTATCTATTATTCGCAAATGATTCTCAGAATATTGTGTCTCTCTTACAATAAACAGCCAAATTTTTATAATCAATTTTTGTACAAATCAAAATCGTGTTCATCATCATCATCTACTAAATTTTTGACTATCGGTGTTATCAGCTCGTACGAACGTTTACATACTTATTTGCCTATTATTCTAAAAACATGGGCAAAAATAAACGATTCATCGATCGAAATTATATTTTTTATTGAAGAAAATCCTCGATTACCCGTCTCATACGATATGGATGATTATTATATCAAACTGTTCTCAAATGTAAATGAATTTAATTCATGTGTATATACCGTTCGACTTCAACATGTCATTGATCAATATCCACCACAATTAAAAGGGTTTTATTTAATCAAATATTTGTATCTCTTTTATGGACGTCGAACATCATGGATATTAAGATTGGATGACAATGCCTATGTACATATACCTAAATTGATCAAATGGCTGAAATCATTGGATGAACGAAAATTGTTGTATATTGGACAGGGGGGAACAGGACGCCAAAATGAAAATATCTATTTTAAAAATCAACAATACTTTTGTATGGGTGGCTCAGGAGTAATCTTGTCACAAACGATATTGAATAAACTTGGTCCACATTTAGACCATTGTTTACAGACAGTTTACACAAATCATGAAGATGTTGAAATAGGGCGATGTATCATTCAATATGTTCATGTTAGTTGTACAAATGCATTTGATTCAAAAACATATTTTTACCATCATTATGGATCTAAATATTCATTCGGTCATGGTTTTACTACTAACATGATTCAGAATTCCTTTATTATGCATCCAATTAAAAATCTCTATACATTTTATCATATTGAAGTTTATAATCAACGTTACAAACAACAACAGGATGAAAAACGTTTGAATAGTTTAGTAAGACAAATAAATAACGTCATTCCGCTTCCCAAAATAAAATCTTCTTATCGTTCGTTTACCACATTTATTCCGCGAATAAATCTTGATTTAACAAAAGAACTTCAATTAAAAAGTTTTGATATCAAATGGAACAGTTATCTTCAATCTATTGTTGAGAACTGTTTGGAGGATTTAAGATACCGATGGAATCGAAAAACGAATTGGACATTGACAAATGGAACATTTGTATTTGGTTATTATCAATCGTTGCCAACAAAAGGTGTTGAATTAATTTTTGAAATGTTATTCAATGTTATGAATCAACAACCAGCTATTCATCCTTCATTATTTGTTCGAAAACGTATTTACACAAAAGCTGGGTTTACCAACAGATTAAAATATCATGAAATTGAGGTAGATGATCAGATTGACAACGATAAACTGAATTTAATTGTTGTATCGAGTAATAAAGATGATGCTTTGAAACGTTTTATTATAAATTTTAAACAACAAATATTAAATTCTACTCCATTACATCGGATAATAACATTGACATGCGTCTACTTTCATCGATCTGAAACAACAGCAACACAACTGGATGACGATAATTCACCGTTGAAATTGATTAATGAATTAGCTTATCAATATCCAGCAATTGTACACAAACCAGTTATTTACAATGTCTCATTTAATCATGGTAAAGGAAGGCAATTAGGTTCACGTCACTTTGATAAGAATGATTTGTTGTTATTTGTTGACGTCGACTTAGTGTTTACTTATGATGCATTAGTAAACATAAGACGTTTTATGCTTCATCAAATTAAGCATAAAACGAATGAATTGTCGAAATGTACTGCCTATTTTCCCATTGTTTATTCTCACACTAATAATGATCATCAATGTTTATTAAGTCATGCGAATGTTGAGTATAACATTACGTCGAATCATGGAACATTTTCTATTTATGGTTTTGGAACAGTTGCAACAACAAAAAATGATCTTGATAGTGTTGGTGGATGGGAAACTAACAATACCGGTTGGGGCGTAGAAGACGTCAATTTGTATACGAGATTTATTGAGGCTGGTTGTATGGTCCATCGAGTAGCCCAACCGGACCTGAGACATTGTTTTCATAAAAAAATGTGTGATGGTATTAAAGATAAGAAGAGACAACGAATGTGCAGAGAAGCAGAATCGAGTTTGTTGGGAAGTCATTCTCACATATATTCTCACATTGTTCGTTCACAATTATTAAAAGTATAGTAGATTCTTGTACGATTACTTTACAGTTTTCCTGGCTTTAGAAAAAAATAGCTTTGAAAAACAACTTCCTTATAACTTTCGATCACTACAGAATTGTTTCATTCAAAAGTTATACCAAAAGTACACTAGCAAAAACAGATGTTTTGAACGCAGGACGGTTACAACGCGAAACTCACTTTTTTCAGGGCTTTCAGCGAAATGGTCATAAACTCTATTAGAAAACATAATGTAGAGTTGGGGACATCTCGTTTGTTCAGAACTCTTCACTCCACAAGACTAACTATTTGAAAAATCATTTAAGTGTTGGAATACAGAAAAACGCTTTCGAAAGTTCAAAAATAGAGCTTTTAGAATAAAGTGACAAACTTCAAAAAATTCGTGTCTCCCTAGTGGAAGATTGTGAAAAGCTTGGAACGGCCTTATTTTATAGAGCACATGTCACTCTACGCTACATTTTCCTTTCATTTTCGTTATTAGTACGCCTAAGGAAATGTCGATGCTTATGAAAAGTTACTCTCAGGTGTCGGCTTTCGAGTGATGAAAACCGCATGACTTCATCTCATTTCATTTTTCAGTTATTCAAAAAATAGCCACCGGTCTTTTAGTTTAAAATGGATAGTAGTTTTATTCTAAGAGTAAGCGAAAAAAAGTTCAAAAAGCGAATAAGTTCACAAACACTCTAGAAAAATACTTTTTTATTCTTTTTAGATATGTAATACAAGCTTACAGAAAACTTTCACGCTGTAGAACGACAAATATACAGAGCGCACGCTGGCGACATTACCTTATGAGCGGACAGAGTTCATCTAAGAAAGTAACTTAACTGTTTAGTTTTATTGATGCGGCACAACTGCCAGAAGTTATCAGCAGACAGATTTTGAAAAGCATGTTCTTCCCTGTTGCTACGTTACAGAAATGTGTCACCAATCATAATGAAGTATAAAACGTGCGTGTGCAAAGAAATACTGTGAATAGAGCTTTCGACGTTAGTCTGAGATTTAATACCAATTTTTAAACTAATTATTCTCCTCTCAACGTTTTGGTATGATATAAACTTCTTAACAATCTTTAGCCTTTAAAGCGCGGATCGAGAAGTTTGTGACGACACGTACAGTTTTAATAACTAATTGATTTTCGAGAATACTTTCCTAGGAAAATAAAAATTTCAGCTTAAATGTACGTGCGGACGCAGGCCTTCTGGATCCGCTAGTGGTTCTAAGATAAATAGATGATGTGCATGTTGCTGAGGCTCATTTGTCCTTATGGTAGACTTAGAATTGAGAAATCTGAGACGATACAATGCCTCAAATAGTCAGATAGGTGATGGATGCAGTCGTTCTACAGTACGTTTGCGTCGTAGATTATCAATACGGTCTGTAAACAAACCGTTGTAGTGCTATAGTATGAAGGCGGTATCTCTTAACTTTCTGCCTTATGATAAACCAAAATGTTTATGGAAGACAATTTCTGATACGTTATTAGCCTCTGAACGTGAATATTGCAAATACACACTTGGGCATGCCTTAGTTGAACAATGTGAAGAAATCGAACAAGAAATAGAGAGTTTACTGGACATATGGAGAGACTACAGGTAATAATGAATTGTTTTTTTCTTATTGTCGTCCAACATGTTGTACATTTTAGAAGTGAAACAGTCTATAGGTCTGCCGATGGAGTCGGTCAGAGTTCAATGTCAGAGCCGCCCATTGTTCGTTCACGTTTGAAGAAAGAAATTGAACTTTTTGTCAAACATATTCATGAACAATGTGCGAATGATGATAAATTATTTCATAAACGTCTATCGACACATAACTGGAATGCTATCAACTATTCATTAACCACCAATAAAAATAGTCAAGTGAAAGACAGACCGATAAGTGCACGTGATAAAAGCGGGCGTGAAACGCCAATTATCAGCACGTTATCTCCAAGATTAAATATTGTAACAGCTGACAAAAATCTTACAATTAATGCTTCATTGATTCGAAATAAATTAGAAGCGTTTAATTTAGATGATATTGTTGATCAACTTCGACGAGCGTTGCAGCAAGATATTAAAATGTTAGAAGAACATATCAAATATCTTCATGTAATATATCTGATTAACGAGTAGTAAGTCGGCCGTAGTAATTAGTAAAAATTCGTACAACCAGATGAGGGTAAAATAGAGTGTTAAACTACTAATCTTTTTCATACGAAAAGTCAAAAGCACAGCGTGTACATGATGATATAGGATGTGTATACGCATCATGATATTTGAGAAGATCCCGTTATTGTCTATTATACTTTCGTATAATTCACTATATGCTTTCTCTATTTTAGGAACGACTAGAGGAAGAAGCAGATTTTCGTGCAAAAACATGTGGTTTATTTCGAGAACCAACACTTGGGGGTATATAGTATTTATACACTCAAAGTATATTGAGAATAAGACTGAATTGAGTTTTTATTTATGTATTTTAGAGTTAAAAGAAGAAAGAGCTCGTCTCGAGAAAGCAGTACTTGGATCAACAACCAATGTAGTCATCCATACTTCCAATGAACATAATACATTATTAAACCGGTATGAAAATTATCATACTTTATTGTCTTTCTTATATGAATTTTAACGACAAATAATTTTGCTATTGTCTAAGCACAGAGTGCAGGCTGTTTTTTCCTCGTTTTCAAGGCGATTTTCTGTGTCTTTTCTAGACAAAATTCTTTTAATGACAATAATCGTCTTGCATCAACCGATGCAATCATTCTTTCTATTCCTCGTTCGTCACTCGATAGAACATTGAGTCCCCGTTCATCACTCGATGGAACATTGAGTCCCCGTTCATCGCTCGATGGAACATTGAGTCCTCGTTCGTCAGTCGACGGAACATTGAATACTCGTTTAAATCTGCAACCACTTCGCGCAACTCACTCTTTGTTATCAACTACCTCTTCCACTAGTAACAGTGACTCAACACCAACAACACAAGAATCTTTTCATTATCGTAAACCACGTTTATCCATCGATAAAAAACTGACATCTGTTAATGAACAACACAATGGAACATCTTCGCAGCCGCTTAAAACACCTAATGCTCATGTTCTACTCAAATTTAGTTCTATTAAGAATTATGATTCGACTAAGAAATATTCAACATTATCGAAAAATAGTTCTGCCGTTGAACAGCCAATGTACAATGACATAGAACCCAAAAGATTAAACGGTGCTGAACGATTTCGGCGAATGGTGCTTGATTGTCGTGATAAAGATTGATTTAAATTTTTTGCTATTATTAGTATAGGAATTGTTTTTTCTCTTGATTTTTTTGCTCGATGGATTAAAGCTTTTTTGCCACTAACAGAAAACATTGTTTTTTTTATGAAATGTTTTTGTAAGTAAATTCGTGTAATTTCCCATTTATTATTTCTTCATAAGCATATTAGTTCAACCATCCCATAATATTTGCAAATACTACTAAATTCAACATCAGAGTGTATCATACTAAGACGCTCAAGGATTGAGTCACTCCACAACCACGTTTAAGTCTCATCCAGAGCTGCAGAAACTGCCTGTTTGCTCCGACGGTCGTCGGAGGAAAACTTATTGATTCAGAGAAATTTTGGAACATCTTTTTGCAATATATTGCAAAAAGAAATTATGTCGAGGAAGTTTTGGAAAAAACTTCAGGGAAATTTTCTAATCTCACGAGTAGATTCTGCATCTCTGGTTTCATCCGTTAGCTAGAAGAAATATAAGTTGATGGATATTTTTGCAAGAAAAGACAAAATTTTTGGATTTTTCTGAACGAGCCAGTTTTACCAGTGACCAATAATTGATGCACACAGCTAAAATACGCTACTACTACTGTTTACCTTACTCACGTCAGTGCCATAACTTAACATATAAAAATGCAGTAGAATATAATGCGTCAACGACATCATTAAAACTCATACACTCAAAAACAAAAGTTTTTCTACCTAATTTGTTTGTTTGTTAATACTTCTTATCAGACTTGCATTCAAAACATTTTACATCGAGAACACAATGAAATAATCGCCGGAGAATATTTTTAAAAATAAGGAAAAGAAAAAAATCTAGATTACTTTATAAAAACAAACATAATGATCACCGTTTAAATATAAATACTGAAAATAATGATGGTTTTTCTGAAAAATTATAAGTAGAGATGTTAGTGATTCTGCTTCTGAAAAATACAAGAAACTACGGCCGTTTTTGTTTCTTTTAAATTATATTGTACGTGAAACGTTAAAAAGAAATTTATAACGATTTTAATAGTTTGTACTCAAATTTTGACATGGGGAGAGAAATGAAATTAGCCATCAAACTGCTCCCTTAATTTCATAAGTACCACTTATATTGAACCTGTGAAAAAGCGTAAGTTATTCCATTGTCCATATTACAAAATATTGCTGAATACGAGAACTTGGATATGTTACGATGACGTGTTTTCTGCATTAATCTGGAAGCTCTTTAGTTACAAATTGTAGGACCTCTCTAATCTGCAGAATTTCGGTTCATTTCTTCTCTAGCAACGAGAGTGGACATTATGTACCAATCTACTATTAATTAACGAAAAAGATCCGGTGTCAACTGATTTTTTTCCTTCAACTTCTCTGCTTATAATTTTACATTTAAATGACGCGGCATTTTCCATTTCTGGTATTACATATTCAAAGAGTCGATATAGCCAATTCATTTTCGTACGATAATACCAATATTACGTATTCTGAACGAAATGATCTCTGAAGAGCGGTCGCTACCACTGAAAATAAAAGAAAAAAATATCTTAACTCCCGTCAATAACATAGCACGTCGTGTAGTAAATCGAAGTAAAGATTCATTAACCGTAAAATCAAAAAGTTTACTTGTCCCAACACGTTTAGCGTTAAAACGTAATCATGGCGATTTTAAAATCCCACCTCTTTCTTGTATACCAGTAATATTCGAGGGACTTCAAATGGAATTAGGTAATTCCAATAGAGATAATGGCTTATCGGCAACGGAATATCAGCATGAGGAAAATCAGTCGTTAAAGTATCAACAAATAATGAGCAAAACTGAAACCAGTAATTATGAGAGTGACATTCATGAACATTCGAATTCAAACTATAATGCTCTTGTAGATATTCAGCACAATAAATCGTTAGTTACACCATGTCTTCGACAAACACAAGTTGTCTCCCTGTTATTCAGGTTAGTTGTC